TAATTCAAGCATCACCAAATATACAAACTTATGATATTGAATCAAATAGTTCAATACTAAGGTTTGCCATATATATCCTATTCACCTACACACCCTCAACATGTTATTGATCTTAGTAGAAAACCTTGTTATCAATATATTAGTTTAAAAGAAAATAAATTAAATGATTTAATTACATTTGATTTATCTTCATTTAATTATGAAAGGAAAACCGAAGAACAATATTCATTTATTCAAGGTCAAATTCAAAAATAAAATTTTCTTTTTCTTTGTAAATGTTTTCAACTTATACCATCATTAATTAATTCATTTCAAACAAATCAACAACAACAAAAAGACAAAGATACATCTTGTAATGAATCAAGTTTTCTTTCCTCAATTTTACAAAAATATGGTGAACATACAATTGAATGTAAAACGGATTTTACATTAAATGCTCTACAAATACCTCTTCCAATGAATTCATATTCAAATAAAAGTATTTTAATTGATCTGGGAAAATTACAAATGAATACAGATTCAAATGATAACAGAAATTCTTTATCTATTAAACAACATGAAATTACATTTGATAACTTTTTAGCCAGTCGTTTTATTTACAAAATGATAAAAATGAATTAATTAATAAAGTAATTTTATTAGAATATTTATCATTTGTAACATTAATTAATTATCCTTTAAATTCACAAAATGATTCCAGTGGAATTAATAATTATGCATTTTATTAATCAAATTTTTAATGAAAATGTTTTTTACCAACTTTCAAAAATTCATAATACTCAAGAAGAAGAACAAATTGAAATTGAATATATAAAATCATCAAAATGTATTTCTCAAAAAATAAGATTTACAAGAAGATAAAAATGTTTATGAAAAATTCGATTTAGTTTTCAAAGACAACAAATTGGTTAAGAACTTTATCATTCTCAAATTGATTTTTACAATAATTATATAACTCAAGATGAAAACTCTAAATTTCTTTATTTAATAATTCAATTAATTGAAATAAATTTTAATTTATTATTAAATTCAACATTTATTATTACATGATGTTCGAAAAAAACCATTTTGAGTTTTATTAACAAACACTGATGTTCAATAAAATACATCAATATTTAACACGAATCTTCAATTTAACAAATATAATAAAATAAGGTAAAGATTTTTTATTTCAAGATATTTTTAATAATTTTATCTATTTATTTTCCATTAGATTCATCTAAATATTCTATTTCATCTGACATAAAAATAAAAACTGAATTTATTTTCAGTCTTTCTCAAACTATTTTACAACAAGATCAAAATAAAACTAGTCCTGATTGTCGTATATTTGATGTAAGTTAAATTATCTAGTAAAAATAATTTAAATAAATATACGTATATTTATATACTTAATAGTTAGTGTTTTCAATACATATGGTTAATGTGAATGGTGAAACAAAAACTTCCTCTTCAACAAAAGATTGAAGTTTTTACGGAACTCATTTTCAAGATTTGGAACAATGAAAAATTCGCTTTTCAGTAATTTATCTTATTTATATAATGATTTTTTCTTTAATTAAGAGCATAGGTATTACTTCAACCACAGTTATATCTGAATTATCAAATGATGACGATACTGATTGTTCATCTTTTTATTTATTTCATCCATCTGTAATGGATTCTTCTTTTCATCCATTTTTAGATTTATTACTAGGTATTGAAACAACATTTCTTCCAGTACGTATTCAAAAATTCATTTATTCAAGTAAAATAAAAACAAAAATAAATCAATCAACAAACATTGAAGTACGTGGAAATTATCATGATAATATATGTGGTATAGGTCAAGAAGAAATATATAATCTTGATTTATGGATATTTCCAATGGATAATAAAATAGAAGAACCAATATTTACATTTGAGAGTATTGTTATTCAACAATGTTCAACGTGTACAATCTGGTCGATGATCAATGGAAAAAACAGTTTATGATAAATTAAATCTAACAACTGATTTACCTAATATTGATCATAAACCATATTTAGATACCAGTGGCGGATCTAGAATTTTGGAAGGAGGGGGCGAAATTTTTTTTTTTTAGTATGGAGAGGCGATACCTGAGAAGGAGGTGGGAGATTTTTTTTTGAGCATGGAGGGGCGATACCTGGAGAGGGGGTGGGGGATTTGTTGTTGGAGCATGGAGGAGCGATACCTGGAGAGGGGGTGGGAGATTTTTTTTTTGAGCATGGAGGAGCGATACCTGGAGAGGGGGTGGGGGATTTTTTTTTTGAGTATGGATGAGCGATACCTGGGGGGGGGGCGATTTTGGTTAAAAGCTATTTTTGACTCCAACCGAAGTAGTGTGAACCTATTTTTTCGTTCATTTTTGCTGTAAAAAATCAAAAAAAAATTCGGAAGGGGGGGCGATGGGGGCGATCGCCCCCCCTAAATCCGCCACTGTTAGATACAATTATAAAAGATTATTGCATGAAAAGAGTATGGACCGATTCATCAATAATAAAACATATATCACATTTACTTCCATCACCTAAAACTATTCTTAATAATCAACTTAATTCCAATAGTAATCATGATTTAATTGAATCAATAGAAATATTTAACGAATTAGCTGCTTATTATGCTCAAATAGCAGTTAGAGATCTTGATTTAAATCAACAACATCATCGTTTATTAAATGCAAGTCGTTCTCTTGCTTCAACTTTATATCCGAAACAAGTAGTAATATGGCATTCAACACAACTTCGTCTTATTCAATTAATTGAACGTTTTCCTCGTTTAAAACCATTTTTAATCTTATTAAATAAATATGATTCACATTTAAAAGATATTCTTAGTGGAGAAAAAAATGGATTAGATAGATTTGTTGGTGATGATGAAATTGAACAAATTTTTCAACAAATTAAAACTCTTATAAGTGCAACTAAAACACGACAAATTTTTCATTCGATTTGTCAACATTTACAATTACAATATGAGCAAACCAAAGATAATTTATTTGAAAATTATCGATTACGTATATTTTGGTTAACTGATAATGATTGTTCAGATGTTTTACCTATTCTTGATCTTTTTATTAATTTATCACAAAAAAACAGGTTTATTAATTGATTTACATTATGCAGATTCTGATCCAATACAACTTGCAAATGCTCAACAAACATTTAATACACATATAACTAATCAAACAAATTTATCTATTATTTATGATGAAACAATTGCTTTATATGATAGTAAAACACTTGAAAAAATACCAACAGAATCATTTCATATTATCTTTTCTTCTAATCACCTTCTAGAAAATCAAGATTTAACAAATTCATTAATTAATCTTCGTCGTTTACTTGTTCATAATGTTCTTCTTTTATTACTTGAATTAGTTCATGTTCCTCTTTATTTTGATCTTATTTTTGGTTTTATTGATCAATGGTGATCATCTGATGATGATAATAATAATCGTACATTAAATAATATTCAACAACGGTCGATATTATTAAAACAAATTGAAGGATTTAATATTATTGAATCAACATTAAATCAAAATGAAAGTACATTAATTATTAGTCAAAAAACAATATCAAATGATATATTACAAAGACTTGATGAAAGAAAAAATCAATTATGGTTAAAATTTTCTAAAGATGATAATAATAATAAAAGTATTTGATATTGAAAATTCAGCATTAAATATTATTTGCTCTGCAATATCAGTTCTATTAACTACTTATAAACAAGTATCTATTATATTTGCATAGCAAATTGATTAAATATTATTGAATGAAAATAATGATGATTTAGAATTTAAACAAAATGAGGAACTTATATGTGGAACATTATCACTTATTCTTCAAATAATTAAAAAATCATCACCACATTTTCATCCATTAGTATATGTTCTTACAAATAATGCTCAATTTAATAATGATTCGAATCTTAATATAATTCCATCACCATTTATTGGTCGTGCACGAGGTTTAATAACTGAATATGAACGAAATCGATTAAAACTTATTGATCTTCAAACATCATTAAATAGTAATAATAATCAATCAACATTTATTCATACTTTAATAGAATATATGATTAATTCAAGATATTCAAATGATATTTGTCAAGTTGTTCTTCGTCTTAATCATACAAATCAAAATCAAGTTCAACATTTAACATGCCATTATGAAATGTTACAAAATAATGATGATGATAAAGAAGAGAAATCTAAATACGAACAAATATCTATTATACCTAAACGAGATGCTGATCAAAAATCATGTTGTATTTGTGTACCACCATCTCGTTTCCTTTCTCAATTAACATGGATCGAAGAAGATAGAGAAAAAGAATTATTACCACCAGATATGGTAGACTGATTTCGCTGGATTTGTTGATCATATATCACCTCTTATTCGTCTTATGTTAGAAGAAGCAATTGATTTATTTATTCGACATAAATTACGTGTTGTTGAACCAACAGTTACTTATGAACCATCTCAAGTAACAGAAGCATTATTAAAATGTAATAGTGGTCAAGTTATAGATAAAACAGTTTTTCGTATAACTTCATCCGATCAACCATTATATATTCATAAGAAACAATCTAATAATCTATTAAAAGGTAATCATCTTATTTTATATTTTCTTTCAATTATTTTTTTTTAAATTAATAGTTGTAAGTAATAATAGAATGTTTTCATCAGAAGTTTGTAATCAAGGAACAATTTTAATATCTGGTGATCTTGGTTTAAAAATGTCTCGATGGATGATTAAGCAACGAAGTATTAAATATATAGCACTTATGAGTCATCGAACATTAGCTGAACTTCAACAATCTTCGAATTCACAATATGATGATTGGTTACGATTAAAACAAACAATAAATGAATATCAAGCTCATGTTGATGTTGTTCAAGCAGATGTGACAAATTTTAATCAAGTGTATGATCTGATCGAAAAATTAAGTCATACCTCTTATCCTATTCGAGGAGTTATTCACAGTGCTGTAGTTGCAGAAGATCGAGTCTTAGCAAAAATGACACAAGAATGTTTGGCACATGTTTTAGCAGCAAAAGTTCGTGGTGCTTGGATTCTTCATCAAGTAACACGGCTTACTAATGCGCCTCTTCGCTTTTTCGTCATGTTTTCATCAATTCGAAATCATTTACTCGAAATGGCATCATCTGGTTATAATGCTGGAAATCAATTTCTTGATGTACTTGCTCATTATCGTTCTGAAAAACTTAATTTACCAGTACTTTCAATTAGCTTGCCTGCTGTAAGTGGTGCTGGAATGTTTCATCGACAACGAGATATGCTCAGCACTTTACAGAGTACACATGGCTTTGAATTATTGCCACCAATAGCTGTATTCGAGTTGATCGAGCGCTTTCATACAAATCAGACGACTTGTCCATGTCCTGTTATTTTTGCTGTTAATTGGCAAACATTATATGAAAGACGTCACAAATTTCCTATGTTTCAACTGAATAAAATAGTAGAAGAACACTACACTGTTATGAAACTCACAAATGTGTCAACAACATCAACAGGAATTAATAGTAGAACTACTTCGAACTTGAATCGAAAAGAAAATATTATTGAACGAATTCAAATGGCTGTAGCACGTCTTCTTGGTGCAGCCAATATTGATCGTATCCTAGTTGATCGTTTATTGGTTAGCCAAAGTGTGGACTCATTAGCAGCTCTTTCACTATATAATTGGTTAGGACAAGAGACCAGTGTTTATATACCATTGGTTGATCGACTTCAAAGATATTCTACTGGAACTATTGCAACAGTAATTCATAATAAGCTCAACGAACGACATCAGGTTGTATCATCGGCTACTGAAGAAGAACATATAGATACTGATCTAATTAAAGAAAATGAAGTAAAACTATCTCATAACTCTAGATATACTAGCACAGAGAATATCATTTGTCTTCAAAATCCATTACAGTGCAATAGTAATATTTTCTTCTGCATTACAGAGCAGATACCAACCAATACTGATAATCTAAATAAATTATTCATTGACAAAATATCTGACCAACAAAGTCAAACAAGATCAGCTGTCATTTATGCTACCCAAATACCATCAGTAACATCAACAGCATCGACATCTACTTATGCTCGTGATATGATTTTGCAAATGCGTCGTATCCAACCACGTGGACCTTATCAATTAGTGGCTGTCCGCAACAAACAGGAAGAAATCATTGCACATGAAATGATAAGACAACTCAAAGATCATTTTATGATTACCGATATTCGATTACTTCTTTTGGACGATTAGAATCAAGAATAATAACAACATTAACATTCTCTGGACATTGATGGTGGGGTTAGTTTGAACTCAAATTTTTTATTTACTAATTCTAATATTTATCAGATATCATACTATAGAAATACTCGTAGAATTCTTAATCATCAAAATAAGGAAACTCGGAAGTAAGAGTTATACACCTTAGTACTTCAGCATTAGTATCTATTGTAGCAAGAAATATATAGTTTTACACAAACAATTTTTCTAGAAAATCAGCTACTGTTTTTTTCTGAATAAAAGACTTTATCTATTTTACAATGAGTTGTACAAGAAAATTATCCATCCCTGAAAAACTTTACATACGGCAACTATGTTCTTTGACATATACAGTCGATCAAAAGTAACATAACACAAAATATTTTTCAGTTTTTTCTTTATACATTGTCAGTTAGATCTCATATTTATAGCACAAGTGTTAGATAGCATAACTCAAAAATGTAGTTTATAGTCAATATCCAGGTATCATACTTTGCTCAAAAGCCTATAAATGCATGAAGATCGACGTTAGGGTAACAAGTCTGAGTGATTCGATCGAAACGTTTGTCATAGTAACGAACACATTGAGCAATTTTTATAAGACATCTTGATAGAATTCAGACTTGTCATCTTTATATTGACCGATGTATATTTGTATGCTTTTAAACAAACTACTATACCTAAAAATCAATCATATGCCGTATATTTGAGTTATGCTAACTAGTACGTGTGGTACAAATATCAGAGGTAGTTGATGATGTACAAAGTAAAGATTGAAAAAATGTTCTGTTAGGTTGATATGAGGCAACTCTATATGACTTCCAGTACATTCGAACAAACAAGCTGAGAGTAGTCATCAATAGCCAGATTAATAAAATTTGTTACAGTGTGGAAAATCTTTAGCAATAAAAATAAATAATATACCTTTATTATAATATATTAATTTACTGTAGAAAATGCTTTCTCTAAAAGAAAATTAGAATATCAAAGTTCAAAGCCATTATAATTATTTAAAAATTTCTCAGGAAAAATACGACTGAAAATAGTATCATGAATTACTTTGAATGTCAATATTATCATACTTTGAGTTGTAGCTTTAATCAGATGTTTATTTGGTCATAAAATTCTAAGAGCAAGTCATGATTACGATTTGTTCTTAAAAAGTTTTTCGTACGATACTTGTTACTTATGAAAGTTATCAGAATTATTTGCACTTTGTCCGCTCATTTTGATTAAGTAAGATTAAAACATTGAGATCTGCATACATTGTGATATTATGCTGTATCGTAATTTCTCTATATGTTGTTTAATATACTGATGAGAATTCAATATTTTAATGATCGAGCAAAACGTTAACTATTCGATTATTCTACGGATATTATTATAAGATGGCACTGATTCTAAATAAGCTCTTCTGTGAATATTCACTAACACTACTAAACTAACATTTTTTTGTCTTTTTATTCAATATAATATCACATTATCTTAGTTTGTTTTCTTGCGTGATTGTGAAGTATTATTAGATGATGGTAGCAAATGGAATCCTTATATGACCGATAGAAAATGCAATTCCAACTTTCGAATTAGAACAATAAATAACGAATTTCATGATATTGAACTTTTTTCTGATGTGTCCATATTCATGTTTTCTTTTTGCTTATGTTTTTGTAATTTCTAGATTGTAGTTGGCTTTTGCATTAGTAATAGATATTTTCTATTTGTTTATTATATAAAAATGTTTCGAACAAAGAAATCAACAGCAGCGACTGCTGATCATAAAGTACAACGACTGAAGATTTCCGGTCGAACAGAAGCTGTAGCTTCATCTGCTCAACAGCGTATCTACATGCATGAAAATCTTTATTTTAGTGGTTCCGACATTTCTATGTACAATAGTCTGGTTCCATTACAGATCAAACGTGGTTCAGTGTCAGTAGAACATATTCGTTTATCTTTAGTTTCAGTAATTCAGCAGCATACCGTTTTTCGTACTTCCATTCGTTTCAATCCAATGCGTAACGAAATCGAGCAAAACATTCAGCCACTCACCGACGATATTTATTCATTTCAACATTCTCCAGGTGTTTCCACACCCGAACAACTTGATCGTTTACTTACGAACGAGTTAATTGGAAAACATTTCGATGTTGAAAGCGGAAAAGTTTTACGATGCCATGTAGTGCAACGATCTGCTGAGAATCATGATGATTCACTACATAAACGTGATCTTATTGTTTTTGTGATTCATCATATCGCATTTGATCTCAGCTCTTACAAACCATTTCTAAAGGCCTTTGAGCGAGCATGCTGGGCAAATGAATATCAGCAATCAGTGTTAACAATTCCACAATACATTGACTTTGCATTGTATGAACAGGCACTGCTAGCCGATACCAGCGTGGAGTCAAAAATGAACAAGGCTCGTCGATTTTGGGCTAATCTTATGCATGGATACGACTGGGATAGAATACGACATTTGGTACTTGATGAGGGTCGAACTGATCAACATCATTCTGGTCGTGGCTATTCAACTGCATTTGCTATCGATCAAGATGTTGTCGATGCAATGATGTTGTTTGCTTCAACCAACAACGTGACAATGTTTTCATTGTTTCTTGCCTGTTACTATACATTCTTATTTAAACTAACCAATCATGATGACGACTTGTGTGTAGTTAGCAGCGCAGCTAATCGACCTGAGAAAGAGATACAAGATATGATTGGTATGTTTGTCAATCTTCTATTATACCGGATCAAAACTGCACCAAATATTACATTAAAACATCTCGTACAACAAGTACAACAGCTAAGTACTGAAATTCTCGTACATGCTTCTTTACCATATCAACAGATCATTGATTCCTCAGGCAAACGAGAAAATAATGAATTACCTTCAATGTTTTTCCAGTACGAACCTTTAATATTATCAATAACACAGAAAAACTCAATCGAATTAACTGTGAGCGAAGGTTCGGTTGTAAGTGGTTACTATGATAGAGATCTAAATCGCCAGAACGGTATATCACTATTTGATATTTCTCTTACAATTATCCATGACCATCATACGCGAAGTACAGAATGTTTTCTGAATTGTTCGGCTGATATATTTAAACATCAAGATGATGCCGATCTATTATCAAAGCGTTTTCAACATATCCTTACGCAACTCTTTTGTTCTTCGATTGCTGGCAAGTCAACCTATAATCAATGTAGTATAGCTATCAGCAACCTATCACTTAATTTACCCGAAGAAATTGAAGAGATACAAAACGTAATCTTTCACAGATTACCGGCTATTGTAAATGAAGGTATGTCTATCCATTGTGATGTTTTTGAATGTATAACAATGAAATTCATATAGATGTATTAGCAAATGATATTTCCAATGTAATAAAGCTTCTCACAATAACCTTTTCAAAAATCTCATTCGTGAAATACTGACCAAAAGAATGAATTTAGTAAAAATAATTAAACACAACAGGATATATTCTATATTGATTAATATTTTCAACATCTATATTGTAGAATAAATGATCGAAGTTCAAATACTTTTCTCTGAAATAAAAAGTAACTGAATTTAGTTTTCAAGATTTACAAAGATTAAGTCGAAATACTACAATTGAATATTTCCCTATTTATAGAGAGTAACAATTAGTGGCTATATCACTCACTCTAAGCTGATCAAAGCTCATCGTAGAATATTTTTAGGCATTATATTTTTCAGACGCCATTTGGTCTGAAACTGATCATGAAATGTTTGACGGGACTAAGCCGACGCTAATCGAAAACCTTAATTTCGATCATAAAAGTTAAGAATTGAATCCATTTCCCTAATTAAACGAAGACTATTATGGTAACATGATGGTGACATCTCTATTCGAATCCGAGATAGACTGAATTTAACTTTTCAGCTTTTTTTAAAACTCCATTTCGGGCGCGTCTAGACACAAAAGCGGTTTCGTCTCACTTTTGTTCGATTGCTACGATTTGCACGCCCTTAGATTCAGAAAAATATCTATACACAAACCTTCTAATATGATTATCATCTAAGACTTTAATTAATTTAGATAGAGAAATAGTATACTGATCAATATATAACTCACATTTATAATAAGTAATTTCAAAGTCCAAAAAGCTTAAGTTTCTATTTATTAAATCAAAATAAGTAAACTGTTAATATTAAAGTTTTATTGTTCTAGCACCAGCATCATTTGCACAAGCTCGTATATGGCTTGATGAA